TGTGACCCTGCAGCACAAAAGCAGTGTTAAGTCGCTGGGGGATATTTGTAGCAATAGCCAACAATACATTGTATGGGTCAAAATTATCCAGTTTTCTTTTATGCCAAAAATCATTAGGATATTAAGTAAAGATCATGTTCCATGAAGATATTTAGTACATTTCCTACCGTAAATATATCAAAACTGAATGTTTTATTAGTAGTATGCATTGCTAAGAACTTCATTTGAACAACTTTAAAGATGATTTTCTCAATATTTAGATTTTTTTGCACCCTCAGATTCCAGATTTTCAAATAGTTGTATCTCAGCCAAATATTGTCCGATCCTAACAAACCATACATCAATGGAAAGATTATTTATTCAGCTTTCAGATGATGTATAAATCTGAATTTCGAAAAATGTATCCTTATGACTGGTTTTGTGGTCCAGGGACACATATTACATTTTAAAATACTCGTAATCAGACTATGGTTACTTTTTTATTGGTTACGTTATTACATGTTATTCACACAACAGCAATAAGTTACTCACAATCTTTTATCTTTTTCCTTTCTAAAATAACCTAGCACTTGTATACATTCAGTTCCAGTTACATACAGGTCACTGCACTGATTCAATGATTAAATGTCATTTTTCTAGCACTGACATGATTTACATCTTGTGTCATTCACAGAGTCGTATGATTCTTTTTTTCCCATCAGGAGCTGAATGTCCGCCAGCTCACTCTGTCCACCGACAAGGACAAATACGGCATTCGTCTGCGAGCTGAGCCGGATCACATGGTGCTGGGCAAACGGCTGAAAGGGGCATTTAAATCTGTGACTGCATCCATCAAAGAGCTGAAGAGTGACGAGTTGGAGATCTTCCAGAGGACAGGCATGTACCGCATCACACAAAACCATCGCTCTGTCATCGTTTACTCCCCTCGTGCCGCTCAGTTCGTTCTCCTGCCGAACACACAAGGAGAGTTACTGGAAACCGTGATGAAGGTGAATGAGGACTGGGGCTGTCGAGATACAGAAAGGCCAAAAAAGTTCACTCTGAAGTCATACTTCGGCTTGTCAGGGTTTTCCTCGATGTGCAGCTTGTGAACATGCCAAAGAAAGTGTTTGGTGTCTAGTGAGGATTCTAGAGTATTGAGAATTATCATAGAAAATAATGAGAATTACAAACAAGCCCGAATATTTTTAAGGGATATCACTATCTTTCTTCCTTGTTTTATTTTTAACAGCAAACCTTGATTCTGCAGCATTTTGTTTGTCAAAAAAATAAAAGAATTAAGTTTTTGTTTGATTAAAAATTAAAAGATTAATTAAATTGTAGATGTTTTTATGCATTCGTTTTAATTTCCAGTGTTTATGAAAATATACTTGCATTAAATCATAAATCTAGAGAAATTAAAACAGACAAGACAGAATATAATTTTTATATAAAAAAAAAACTTTTTTTTTTTTTTTTGATTATTAACGTTTAATTTAACCACCAGCGGAAAGAGTAATATTTGTTTAAATTGTTGCTGAATTGCTAAAGTGATATGAATGAATGTTTTTGATTACTGAAATTTTATTTCACCATAAAGAAACCCAGAAAAAATAATTAAACTGAAAAAGCTTGGGAATTTGGGGGGAAATAAAGCAGTCTGAGTGCACTAACAAGTCATACTTGAGGTGCATAAAGACTCTGAGAGCTCGGGCTGGTGTCAGACGCTGCGCTCCGTCTCTGAAGCGGGCGGTGGTTTTTCAGAGCGGTTACCTGTGTGTTTGCTGGGCTTTGGAGGGAAGAGAAGAGCTCCAGCAGCCGTGATCTGATAGCATCGCTCCCCTTTCTAAAGCATGTTCATGCCTCTTATTCGTAACGCTGATGCTGTGATGAGCAGAACGCTGGATAAGACTGGGAAGCTGTGCTGTAAGAGAGAGGAGATGTGAATCTGGAGTTCCTGGAGACCGTTTGTGTTCACTGTCTGAGATCCAGAGACGGAGAATCCCTCACTCTGCTTTCTGCTGCCATTTTTTTTGCTTAGCCTTGCAAAACTGACCAGCTTTCTTTTTTTGGGACCATTGTGATTGAATAATTAATGAATTATAATATATATATATATATATATAATGTTTATCTAGTTAGTTCAATTAGTTATTTATTTAATTAGTTTGCTCACAAATTCTCATTACTGTACCAATAGAAACAATGATTTTGGCAGAAATTAAACATTTTTTCATTGTTTTTGTGATCAGACATGTTTTTGTAAAATGGTCTCTTTTTCAGTTGTATGAAATAATCATTGAGGAGGTAGGGGGCCTTTTTAAAAGTGTGATTTCTGAACCTGCAGAAGTCTTTTTATCTGGAAATTAATAATTATTTAATTATAAAATTCTATATTATATTACAAATTTAGTTTTTTTTTTTTTTTCATTTTAATAGTAATATCACAAATCACAAACTAGAAAAGCTGTGCTTTTGTAAACCATAAAAAACATTTGGTTATTGGAATTATGGAAATGAATGACTTATTAGTTTAATACAGTATATTGCCACACATTGTTTCTATTGCTTTGTCATTATGGTATCTCTCAAATGTTATCTTTGCTCATGCTAATAAAGCGGCGCTGTCCCGTGGCGTCTGTGAGCAGCTCTCATCTCAGTTTGCCCTCTGCAGGGTCCATCGTTGTGGACGGTCACGAGCTGCACGAGGACGATCTGCGTCTGATGTACAGCTTCGATCAGACCTCGGGAACACCGTCCCAGTACGAGGCGCATTCAGACGCTCAGGTGCTCTTTCTGCTCTCGCTCCGTCTGAACCCACGCTCCTGCAGTCTGGTGATCTGAACAGACCCCTGTGTTGTCACAGGTGCTGGTTCTTCTGGACGTCACCCCCGATCAGACCATGCAGGACGAAGGTGTGGCCCGCGAGGTCATCAACCGCATCCAGAAGCTGCGCAAGAAGGTGAGAAAACATGAAGCACAATACTGCTGTGCAGATCAGTTCGTGTCTTTGAAAAAAGTATCTTCTGTTAACCAAGGCTGGATTTATATGATCAAAAATAAAGTAAAAATTGTGAAAATTATTAGAACTTAAAATAGCTGTTTTCTGTGTGAATATCTGTTAAACTAATTTATTCCTGTGATTTCAAAGCTGTATTTTCAGCATCATTCCTCCAGTCTTCAGTGTCACATGATCTTCAGAAATCAGTATAATATGCTGATCTGCTGCTCGAGAAACATTTCTGATTATTATCAATGTTGAAAACAGTTGTTCTGCACAATATTTTTGTGAAAACCATCATACGTTTTATTTTTCAGGATTCACAGATTGAATAGAAAGTTCAAAAGAGTAGCATGTATTGGAAATATAAATCTTTTGTAACATTTTAAATTATATTAGTGTCACTTTTGATCAATTTAATGCATCCTCGATTAATAAAAGTATGATGAGAATGATTTCTGAAGATCATGTGACACTGAAGACTGGAGGAATGATGCTGAAAATACAGCTGCGCATCACAGAAATGCATTACATTTTAAAGGGGACCTATTATGCAAAATTATAAGGTGGTTGAACACAGTTGTGTGGCCGCAGTGTGTGAAAACAACAGCCTATAATGTCTCCAAACGAGTGAGAGTTGCAACTTTAGCTAATGGAGATATACAATGTCAGCGCTAAAGAGGCATTACAAGTGTTGTGTTTTGGGATGCACCAATGAACATAGGAGTCTTCATAGACTCCCTCCATCTGAGCTGCTGAGGACACTGTGGTTAAATTTCATTTTCGAATGGAAATATCTTCGAAAAAATCGGTAAAGTCCCCTATATGTTTAGGGATCAATTCCAAAGCTTTGTGCGTGAACGTCAGCTCCAGACAAAGTAAGTATCACGCGTTTGTTTTCCAAATTGCCTTTCTGAAAGAGCTTCTTGACACTCTGTAAGGCTAATGTTGCTAAAGCTACCATTATCTCCATCTGTTTTTACTGGTGCTGTCTTCACGTGCTAACGTTACCAGAATGATCGTAAATAGGAATGTGGTAGTTAAAAATTGCATTTGAAATCAATGTGAAGTCGACCGCTTGAATTTGTCGAGCTCATAATCACATGTGGGACTTAGGATAAAGTTTGTGATGGCGTTATGATGTCGTTATTTTTATCGCGCCGTGCTCCTCGTCTGTGTAATTCATAAACGATCATTTGTTATGCACAGTACAATCAGATGACTGACTTTTAAACCGAGTACATTTTCTGTAAAGGTAACAGGCTTGTACTAATAGTGGAATGTTTATTTGTATGCCAGAGCATAAGCTTTGAAGCTCCGCCCTCTTCTGAAAACGGGGCCGGAGCACCAGCTCATTTGCATTTAAAGGGACACACACAAAAACGGCACGTTTTGGCTCATACCCTAAAAGTGGCAATTTTAACAAGCTATAAAAAAATTATCTGTGGGATAAACTCTGTTGTTGAACGCCGCACACAAATGACGACGCTGTCGACCGGCTTACGTCACTTCTTAGCACACACTCTCGGTGCGAATGCAACCCTTTAAATGGTACTGGAAAATAGTTTGCGCAAAGTCGTCCCAGTACTTTAGTACTGTACGTTTAGTTCTGGAACTAAAGCGGTGCGAAAGGGCCTATACCCACTCTGGGGACATCAGAGACTTATTTTACATGTTGTAAAAAGGGGCATAATAGGTCCCCTTTGACAGATATTCACATAGAAAATGGCTGTTTTACATTCTAATTATATTTCGCAACATTAGTGTTTTTGCATGTTTTTCAATAAATCAGTTCAGCCGTGGTGATCAAAAGAGACTTCTTTAATGAATATTAAAAATCCTAATTACTCCAGACAGTGTGTATGGTGTGATTTGGCTGAAGCAGTGGTGAGTGACTGGGTTGGGACTAGCAGCGTTGGTTTGTGGCCTCCTGCTCTGTGCTGCAGTGCCGGCCGCTTTACTCCAGAGAGCTGTTCACTCAGTCCTGAAGCTGTTATTTGGGTGAAGGTTGAAGTCTTATTTTTTGGTGTGTGTTTTGTGAATCGCACGCCTCTGACGTGTCTTTGTCTCGGCTCTCTCTCGGGTCCGGCTTGCTTGTTTTTCCCAGGCTCGTGAGGGATGCTATTTGGATGATCTTTCCACCCCTGAGTTCTGCATGCGTCGAGCAACTTAATAAAGCTCAATTACCCAGAGTGCACTTAAAGACAAGCAGCACTTTGAAGTTGTTTGGAATTCAGTAAAGTAAGACAGATTCCTTCCCTCGCCCCCCTCGCTTTATTCGTGCCTCTTTTTTTTCTTAATAAACAAACGTTTTTTTCCACTGTGCTCTATATGTGAAGGGGAAGGGCACGGGACGCCTGCCAGGCCTGAATTCCTCTCTTATTGAAAGTCTGAAAAAATCGGAGGGAATTTTCCATGGGAGGGAATTAATTTTTCAGCGTTTGCTGAGATGAGAGGTGGAGACCGGGGGCCGGAGTGAGCGAGGCTCATGGAAGAGCACAAGCCATTGTGGGGTTTTTTTCCTTGTTGTTCAAAGGTACCAAATGCCCAAGCCTGTGTTTTCCACAACAAGCCCGTTTGTTTTGTCATAGCGTCTGCTTTGGGAAAATGATTAGCACTTGCTGCCATTTTCCAGTACACATCTGTTTTTTACTCTTTAAATTGAAGGCAGATTAAATGAGCTGTTCTTCACCACCGAGAGACTTGTGTGTAATAAATGATCAGTCATAGGATGTGCTGGTCTTCCAGAGAATCAGCAGTCATCCAACACAATTGTTCAGAACGTTTTCACTTTCGTTTTATGAGTTTGCAACCCTGTTACCATAATTATCTAGACACATTCTAATTATCCAGTCAAAATCAAAAATTTTTTATTCACCAAGGATGCATTCAATGATGAAATTATGAAATCTTACTGTAAAGAAATTTATAATGTTACAAAAGATTTTTATTTCAAATAAATGCTGTTATTCTTTTGAACTTTCTATTCATCTGTGAATCATGGAAAATAAAATGTCACAGTTTCCAGAAAAATATTTAACATAAAGCAAAAAAGCACCTTGGAGAAAATCAACAGCAGCGCAGAGTATGAAAAGACAATGCAGAAAATCCACTACAGTTCAGTACCGCTTTAGAGTGGACAGGATTATTCACATGTGGTTATAGTTGCGCCGCCTCTACTACCACGACTCATAAAATAAATTTTTCATTCTGCGTCGCCCCATCAAGCTCTCGCTGGATCCGCTCCTCTACTGTCAACGAGAAGAACGTCTGTTCTTCCGCAACAGACAACAAAACTTTTTGGTTGTTAAAAAAAGGTGCACTCGTTCAAAACAGTTGCATTCGATCCTTCGCCGGCTGTGCTAATTTAAATCTAGCGGTTCTTTTGTGTTTGTGTCGCACGTTCAGTGACGCAGGTAGTGACGATTCTCTCCGGCCAATCAGTGATCAGCAGAGTTTACACGTCACGTTTTGGTAACGGTACGGTTCACTTGGAACCCCAACCGAGGTGGTACTAAAAAAAGTACCAGGTACTGTACCCAGTGGAAAACCCCCAAAAAGTGAACCGTACCATGCAGTGGAAAAGCGCCATAAGTGGACGTCTATGACATGCAGCGTCCCACAAGGCTCAATTCTTGCACCACTCTTGTTTAGCCTGTATATGCTCCCACTAAGTCAAATAATGAGAAAGAACCAAATCGCCTATCACAGCTATGCAGATGATACCCAGATTTACCTAGCCTTATCTCCAAATGACTACAGCCCCATTGACTCCCTCTGCCAATGCATTGATGAAATTAACAGTTGGATGTGCCAGAACTTTCTTCAGTTAAACAAGGAAAAAACTGAAGTCATTGCATTTGGAAACAAATATGTAGTTCTCAAGGTGAATGCATACCTTGACTCTAGGGGTCTAACAACTAAAAATCAAGTCAGGAATCTTGGTGTGATTCTGGAGACAGACCTTAGTTTCAGTAGTCATGTCAAAGCAGTAACTAAATCAGCATACTATCATCTCAAAAACATTGCAAGAATTAGACGTTTTGTTTCCAGTCAAGACTTGGAGAAACTTGTTCATGGCTTTATCACCAGCAGGGTGGACTATTGTAATGGTCTCCTCACCGGCCTTCCCAAGAAGACCATTAGACAGCTGCAGCTCATCCAGAACGCTGCTGCCAGAATTCTGACTAGAACCAGAAGACCTGAGCATATTACACCAGTCCTCAGCTCCTTACACTGGCTTCCAGTTATATTTAGGATTGATTTCAAAGTACAATTACTCGTTTATAAATCACTCAATGGCCTAGGACCTAAATACATAGCAGATATGCTCACTGAATATAAACCTAACAGAGCACTCGGATCATTAGGATCGAGTCAGTTAGAAATACCAAGGGTTCACACAAAACAAGGGGAGTCCGCTTTTAGTTATTATGCCACCCGCAGTTGGAACCAGCTTCCAGAAGAGATCAGATGTGCTAAAACATTAGCCACATTTAAATGCAGTGTGCTACATCCGAACTGATCTGAGCAATTTTTTATTTATTCATTTATTTTTTCCTGTAATCCTGCGAATGTGTCTTTAATGTGTCAAACATGTGGTCTCAGGGTCATCTGGTCCCGTCGGATGAGATCACTGTGTATTACAGCAGTCAGCCGGCGGGGGAATACCTGGATAAAGTCATCCAAGCACACACAGACTTCATCTTGGCCACGACTAAAGCTCCTCTCAAGCCCTATCCAGTGGCCCAGAATGCCAGTGTGATCGTCCAGGAGAAAACGCAGGTGACACACTGATTGATGCTGAACTCATTTAGAGATGCACAGACACTGATCCACTCTGTCACTCTGAGACTGTGCCGTTTCCTTCTCTTTGTTCTCCTGCTAATACCAACATTTGATATCTACTAATACCAGCCTGCAAATATGAATATGCTTTACAACTCTTTATAGATTTAACATGGGGAAAGCATCATGCATGACTTGATGCAGACCTAAGTAACAGAATAGTAAAGATTTGTATGAAACGGGAATATTTGCTTCACTGCATGCACAGGAAGATAAGATCTAATGAACTATTGATGGTGTTATACACTTGAATTATCACCACAAGTCAAGGCACATATTCCAGCATGTTTTCTGACTGCATTTCTATATTCATTCTCCAAATGTTCATGGCAGTGACTCAAATCAACACATACGAATTTAAATAATGACACAGAAAGCTGAGCTCAGCTGTATGAACACTATTGCAACTTTTTTTCCTCAGTGTTGCAGTTAGTTTCTCAGTTAGTACTTACCACATAGTGTATGTAAAAAATAAATAAATAAATAAGGGTGGCTGAACAGCAACATTTTCAGTTCCATCCCAGCTCTCATACCTCAGTTATGATACTAAATACACCACTGAATATGTGTGCTAGTAGACTCATGCATCACAAGCATACTAAACCAATTACTGAAACACACAAAATGTCATGTATAGGCAGATCATCTGACACAATATTGACTGATATGTCATTTTTAATAGCCCTAAAAGGATGGCATGAGTGCATGGCTAGACTTTTGGGGTTTTATTCAGTTTTATTTGTCACTTGTGGCTTAGTGGATCTGGGCATATTAACAAATTACATCTGTTTTCCTCTCATATTATAAACCCTATACCCTAAAATGCATTGAATGTATTTTTGAATAAAAATGTGTTGAAGGGATCGTTCACACAGAAATGAAAATCAGCTGTTCATTTACCATCTGAGTAAGGCCATCCGAGATGTAGGTGACTTGTTTTCTTCAGTACAACAGTAAAGAAGCGTTTTAGCTGAAACTGGTGATTCTTAATATGCCATTCAAAGGCTACGGTCACTTTGAGAGTAAAAAAAAAACATATACAGGGTCCTTAAAGTCTTAAAAAGTCTTACATTTAGTTGTATCAAATTTAAGGCCATAAAAAGTCTTAAAATAAAAAGTCTTATGTTTCAAGAGGTCTTAAATTTGGGGATGGAAAGACCAGAATTGTGATATGAATGTGATGATTTAACTTCAAAAGGCAATGATTTCATTGAAGCATGCAGCAGCAACGCTCGTGTCTATTTAAAGTCCTGTGGCACGCTGCTTTATGTTCTGCCGTTACCGGGGAAAGAGTTATGTTTCTGCCGTGCCAAAAGCACCACCTGCTGGCAGAGAATGAATGTGCATTTCCAATAAGGCTGCTGTTTTTGTTCAGGCCAATGCGAAAATGGACCCATGTTTTTACCCTGTAAACACACAGAGCTCATCATTTTAATCATTTTAAAAATATAAACAGTAAAATGTATTTATATATTATTTAATTAATATAATAATTTATTGATAATAATAAGAGCCACTAGCTTTCTCTGTTCTTTTTCTATCTACTTGTTTTCTTTTTATTTATTATATTTAAAAAAAACCTTGCTATGCGAGCCATGTTAAGCTAACTGAGACTTGTTATAGCACATGTGTATCATTGCTCTTTTGTTGATTTCGATTGCTTCCATTGTCCTCATTTGTAAGTCGCTTTGGATAAAAGCATCTGCTAAATGACTAAATGTAAATATAACTGTATAAACTAATATAATAATTAATACTTTTGATGCATCCATTTTCTTAAAAATTGTTTAAAGGCTGAAATGTAAAGTGTATCATTTTATAAAACTTTGTTTTTGTGAGAACTTGTATCTGAACTGTAAATCATGCTTTTTACAGTCATGTTACTATATACGTCGCCCTAACCCGCTCATATGGTATTAATTTTATTTGTTCAGGTCTTAAAAAGTTCTTAAAGTCTTACATTTGAGCTTAAAGATCCTGCAGAAACCCTGATACAGGCAACACACAATTGACCTGTGGCTCCTGGCGATATATTGAGGTCAGTGCAAGAAACTGAACATCACTTACAACATGATTACCTGAAATCCTGAGATTTACCTGAGAGCCTCTGACAAACGAACAGCTGATTTTTCATTTCTGGGTGAACGATCCCTTTAAGAAAAGAGCACTCCGTGCATGTTGTGCTGTCTTTAGAATGCATTAGCCAGTCATCCTCAGAAGGATATGTTGTGCACTGGGTCAGGGTTGTGATTGTTTGTGTGGCAGCTGAAGGGCTCGGATCTGGAGTTAACTATCGTGCGAGGGTCCTCCGTCTCCAGAGCGCTTCTGACCACCGCGGCCTGCGCTTACGTCAACCTCAGAGTCACGCTCAAGGACAGACAGCAAGGTACGTCACCCGCTGGAGTTCAGACTCGATCACAACTCCTCCTAGAGCTTTAACTCTACAAACTCCAAACTCAGCCCAGATCTTCAGACTGATCTGAAGTTAGTTGCTATGTCTTTTCTAACTGATCGGACTGATCTATCAACTTCATAGCAACACTCTAGCAACTATCCAAACCAAATAACATGAAACATGCATATGTTTTCTTGAGTCAGATGCATTACTGAACATCAGTCTATCAGAGCTTCATCGCTATGGCAACAATACTGAAATCCAACTTAAACTTACAGTTATTATTATTCTTCTGAGACTAACATTTCTGACTCTAACTCCTCCTAGAGCTTTAACTCTACAAACTCCAAACTCAGCCCAGATCTTCAGACTGATCTGAAGTTAGTTGCTATGTCTTTTCTAACTGATCGGACTGATCTATCAACTTCATAGCAACACTCTAGCAACTATCCAAACCAACCTAGCAACCACCTTGAGTACCCCATCAACTGCATAGCAACACCCTAGCAACCACCCAGAGTACCTTAGCAACACCCTAGCAACCACCCCAAATACCCTAGCAACCGCATAGCAACACCCTTGAAACCACCCCGGGTACCCTAGCAACTGCCCTAGCAACCACCCCAAGTACTCTAGCAACCACATAGCAAACCCCTAGCTACCACCTATCAACACCCTAGCAACCACACAGACTACCCCAGCAACCGCATAGCAACAGCCTAGAAACCACCCTGAGAACCCTAGCAAATATCTATCCATCCATCTATTTTGTTTATTTAAACTTCAGACTTCTTCAAATGAACACCTTCAAAGTGCAAGCTTATAAAATTACTTCAAATAGGTCAGACTTTCTCAAGCCAACTTCAGAGTTTGTTCTCAAACTTTACTTGTCTCGCATTGCTGTACCGCTGTGATGAGAGGGACACGTGTAACTGAGTGTATTTCCACTCTGCTGTCTGCGCTGTAAACACGCATTGTTCTCTCAGAGCCGTCTCCATTCATGTTTCTCTCAGAGGGTGTCGTTCTGCTGGAGAACCCCAAGGGTGATGACACACTGGACGTGGAGCGGCTCAAGACCGTCTGCTGTAGTGTTTTTGGACTCGACGGCGCACCTGTGACCATATTCAATGGGAAGACAGGTGAGAAAGATCACCTCCAGGCTCAAAAACACCCAGAATGCATCACTAGTGGTACTGATACGGGGTTTCGGATGACCAATATACTGATATAGCACATACAGATGCAAAGTGAGGTCCAGAAGTCAGAGATGACATTGACAATTTGACATAGGTTTCATTTAAACCTGGGAATTAAAAGAAAGTGCTGTATTGCTAGACATCTTTGCATGCAGATAAAAGGAAATGGATGTCATTGGTCATGTGACTCTTTGTACAGACCAGCTCAGGATGCTCTTGCTAGACAACATGCTCATCCTCACATTATTCTTTTATTTTCAGTTCACTTTTCAAAATGTGCTTACTCTAATTTGCAGTAGTAGTGCACTCATATTCAGCTTATGAATTCTGTCATTAATTAGGAGTAACGGCATGGTTTCATTTAGGTCAGGGTCTATTTATTTGGCCATCTGTCTTTGTTTGGAGTTTAGCGAAGAAGTGGAGTGTGTTTTCAATCAGGTCATTGATTCGTGAACTGGTCAGTGTTTAGTCGTGTGTGTGTTTAGTGTTTGTTCTCTTCTTCTGAGTTTTCCCGCACTTGCAGATAGTGTTGTCACGAGGCCATCATTCGAGTCATTTGAAGCACTCTTCACATGTAAGATGACGTGCAGCTGAATCGAGTCGGACCTCTGACACTCATTTGGACTTTCCATATTAGCAGATGTTCCTGAAAGGGTTTGAAGGGAAACATGAAGGTGCTGGGGCCTTCAGTCACGCGTGTTTGTCTCTTTCAGCGCTGAACGCCGAGACTGACCTGATGTCCCTGAGCGGGAGAACACTGACGGTGACCTCGGGTTCGAGTCCTGCAGACGCGAGCAGCTCCGACTCTCTGCTGTGTCCGTATGTGAACCTGCAGCTCATGAACGCCAGTCCGGCCGGTGAGTTTCACTCGTCACACATCTCATATATACACACAAACATATACATGTACATATCATTCCTAACCTCCATACATATAAAAAATTAGGGCTGTCAGTTTAACACGTTAACTTAATTAGTTATCAAAAATTAAAATATTTTAACGCAATTAACACACTGGCCCCGACCCCAGACCTGTACATCATCTTATTAGTTGACTGTTGACAAATATGATGCAGGACAACAACTCCATAAATGCAGTTATGCCCTAAAATTCAAGATATTGGGGCAAAAAAAAACCCTGTATGAGTTTTTGTCTCATATATACCACATGATAAGCGATATCACACCAGCAACGAGAGCAATATCACACGAGTGCTGTTTTTGTCACGAAGAACACTAGTGCAAATGTGATTTTATACAACAGTTCAGCAAATAATAAATTAATTGTGCTATGTTTTTAAACACAATATTGTGTTTTTGTTCAATTTTGCCAGCTAAAATATTACCTATAAAGCCACAGCAGAATTGTTGTGCATCTGTGAGCAACACAGCGGTGTTTAGTTTCTGAATGAATCTGAGTTTTGAACGAATCGTGTGAACCAATGATTCAAAGAGAGAACCGTTTACTGAATTCCTGAATGAATCAGCCATTTGAACGAATCGTGTGAATCAATGATTCAAAGAGAGAACCGTTTACTGAATTCCTGAATGAATCAGCCATTTGAACGAATCGTGTGAATCAATGATTCAAAGAGAGAACCGTTTACTGAATTCCTGAATGAATCAGCCATTTGAACGAATCGTGTGAATCAATGATTCAAAGAGAGAACCGTTTACTGAATTCCTGAATGAATCAGCCATTTGAACGAATCGTGTGAATCAATGATTCAAAGAGAGAACCGTTTACTGAATTCCTGAATGAATCAGCCATTTGAACGAATCGTGTGAATCAATGATTCAAAGAGAGAACCGTTTACTGAATTCCTGAATGAATCAGCCATTTGAACGAATCGTGTGAATCAATGATTCAAAGAGAGAACCGTTTACTGAATTCCTGAATGAATCAGCCATTTGAACGAATCGTGTGAATCAATGATTCAAAGAGAGAACCGTTTACTGAATTCCTGAATGAATCAGCCATTTGAACGAATCGTGTGAATCAATGATTCAAAGAGAGAACCGTTTACTGAATTCCTGAATGAATCAGCCATTTGAACGAATCGTGTGAATCAATGATTCAAAGAGAGAACCGTTTACTGAATTCCTGAATGAATCAGCCATTTGAACGAATCGTGTGAATCAATGATTCAAAGAGAGAACCGTTTACTGAATTCCTGAATGAATCAGCCGTTTGAACGAATCGTGTGTATAAATGATTCAAAGAGAGAGCTGTTTACTGAATTCCTGAATGAATCAACCGTTTGAACGAATCGTGTGAATCAATGATTCAAAGAGTCGTTTACTGAATTCCTGAATGAATCAGCCGTTTGAACGAATCGACTCATAGACATTTATCGCCACCTGCTGGCAGTTTTAGTTTCTTCTTTAGAGTATCATTTAATTTATAAAAAATAAATAAAAATAAAAAACACTAAAGGTATAGTTCACCAAAAATAAATAAATAAACTCTGTCATCATTTACTCACCCTCATGTTGTTTCAAACTTGAATGACTTGCTTTCTTTTGCACAACATAAAAGAGGGTATTTTGAATAGCCTACTGTTGGTAACTAAGCTGTTTTAGTCACTAGTGACTTTCATTGCATGAACAAAAAATACTGAGATGTTTCTCTAATTATCTTCTTATATGTTCCATACTTTATGTTAGGCCATTGTAGCCTAAGCATTTAACAAAATAATAGCTTTAAATTATCTTGTGGGGGTATTTTCACAGCTGGATTTAGTTTGCGATTATTTATAAAAATGCAACAAAAATGTACATGAAAACAAAATATAACAATAAAAGCATACAATATATTAATAAAAACTATAACAGTGTCTCAGGGATGCTGAAATCACAAATAAGATTTTATTTTAAATTAAGATGCTCCCTTTAGAAGGCAGGTGACCATGGAGTGCGTTACATTTCTATCTATTTTATTTTAAATCTGTTATGAAACACTTATCACATGTCCTGAAGAATGATTTCATCACGACCTTGATTAATTCTTCAAGCGGGAGTTTAATATCGAGCCTTGGAATGATCTGAACAAGTGGGTGGGAATTATGAATAATAATTAGATGATATTCTATAATGATTGCCTGTAAGTGCTAACATTTTAGCATTTATAATTTTCTTAATGAGGATGCACATCCAGAGACAGTGGAAAGCTGTGTGTTTTGAAGCGTGGTGTTGCAGTAGACGTGTGCGTGCGTGCGTGCGTTAGGGCTGCACGATAAATCGAAATGGAATCGAGATGGTGATTAGACAGAAGCTGTGATTGTCATGCGTATCTTTCAGTGAAGCACGGTTCTGTGATCAGCAGTAAATCTGCATCCGAAGGCCAGAGAAACTCCAAATACGCCTCGCAGAAGAAACCCAGAACCCGCTGCAGCTGAATAAACAGAAGATTCAACTGCTTTCATCGATTCAACGTGACTAATAAACACACGACTACGGCAATATATAGTTTATCTGAGTTCTTATTATTATAATTTTCATTAAAATAAAGTATAGTTATAGTTATCACGGCTTAAATACTATGAAATATGTTGCGTGCCTTATTCTGTGTAAGTCACATCATCTCACAGAAGCATTTATTTCAAACACTCGACTGACGTTATGAAGTGCGTTTGGAGTAAAAACATGTTATTAAATGTGGTATTTTCACATGCTTTCAGACGGAGCAGCATTTACTTCACAGAGCCGTAGTTCGATTTCAGAATCGCGCAATAAAATCGTCTGCGACGTTTTTGCGTAACTTGTCAGTGAGCTACGGCTCTGTAGTAAACGCTGCTCCATCTGAAAGCACGTGATGATGATTTACTGCTGATTACAGAACCGGCTTTACTTACAAAATGCACATGACAATCGCATTCAATTAATCATGCAGCCCTAGTGTGTGTGTGCGCGTTTTTGTGACACATGAGGACACAAATTTGTATAATGACATGGGTATGACAGGTATTACAAGGATAAGGTGACTTATGAGGACATTAACCCATGTCCCCATTTTTTAAAATGCTTATAAATCACACAGTTTTTTTGAGAAAGTAAAAATGCAGAAAGTTTCCTGTGAGGGGTAGGTTTAGGGGTAGGGTTGGTGTAGGGCAATAGAATATACGGTCTGTACAGTATAAAAACCATTACGCCTATGGAGAGTCCCCACTTTTCACAAAAACAAACCTGTGTGTGTCCTGTAGAGTGTAAGACTGGAGACGTGGCCACGCTACTCTTAATGAACCCAGCGGGGAAGAACGCCTTGCTCTTCCCTGATCTGCTGTGTGAAGCGGCTAAAGTCTTCGGCTTGAGAGGAAGAAAGCTGACGCTCTGCCTGAATGAAGAGCTTACAGACGGTGAGGAACACGTCATCTCTCATTCACTCACACTTCATTTCAACATGTGCTTGTCACACAGCAATTACTGAGTAATATACAGTGGGTACGGAAAGTATTCAGACCCCCTTAAAT